GCCACCAGGGCGTTTTTCCGGCGGTTGTTTTTCTGGTCAGACTCCTCACCGAACCTCGGCTCACTGGCCAGAACTCTGCTAGCCCCGCCCATCCAGCAGCTGGGTGACTGACAGGCCCCGGCTGACAGTTAACCAATGACACGTGTCAGTGGGCTGTGGTGGCCCGTCAGCCACACAGCTGGACAATTATGTGGGGAAAAACAATGTGGACCAGCCCCACTAGACACCGGCCCGCCGGGACAGTGGCCGGTGTGCCAGATGCCCAGTCCATCCCTGCTTCTGCTCCTTTTTAACGTGACCTGAGTTCACCAGGTGTTAGACGGCCCCAGACCCATAGTCGAATAACAGCACTCACCGTTAATGTTGCACTTTCTCCCCACGTTCGGCTCAATTAAAGTTCCTCCCTGAAGAAAATAAAAAGTTTTTTAACTCCTTCGAACTTCGTGTTCTCTTGGAAACGAACGAAACAAAAGGACTCCGTCTAATCACAGTCTCCGCTCGTCTCCGGGCTGCGTCTAAACACTGGACCGTGAACGTTCTTTACCTGCGCTGGAAACAAACATTTCTGTGGTTTACCCTGAAAACTGCTGCGGACATTTCTCCGTTATAACTACAATTACAACGAATATTATCGATACATTATATTTAACAATACAAACACGAGTCCGTTATAGTGCTGCAGTTGGAGGTAAATCCAGTGTTTAGACGGCGCCCGGAGCTCCAGTCAGAACTAACAGATTTACTCACCTGTCNCCCCACATCTCTTTCTCAGCGTCTGATCACATGACAGCTCCAGCAGCTGATGCTCTCCTGCAGCCACATTTCGTTGTCAAACAGTTCTGCGTCCAGGGAGTTGGTCTCAGAGAGGAATGTGGCCATTTCTGATTTAGGTTGGTCAAAGCGTGACAGCACCTCGACGGCCAGCGGACTTCTGGAAGTGGCAGGACGCGAAGGCAGCTTTTGGCTTCTCAGACCAGTTTTGGTGTTTAAGTTAGCGTTCACAGCGCGGCGGCGGGGGGGGGGGGTTTGCCATCTTGCATCCCGACATCAACACAAACTTAAAATGAACGTCAAACAAACTATGGTTACCATGCCTGTCAAAATAAAAGTTTTTTCAAAATAAAAAATAAGTCCAACCTGAGACGCACATTATATATGATTTAATTCTGACCAGCTGTCCGCGACCCATCAGTTGAGAACCCCGATCTACAGACATCTACAGAGAAAACATGCAGTACAGTGGAGCAAATACACCATCTGCATTCGCTCTGCTTCTGTTGCTGTAGGGACACCGATCAGACAACAGGATGGACACTCACCAAATCCAAAAGGCTCTTTTGCCAAAAGCTTTTCCTTTTGGTGGCCATTCTGTGCTTTGGCCTGATGTCTTGGGCTGGCTCTCTCCTTCAGGTTCTTGAGCTGACTTGCCCTGAACCTGGCTGAGCTGGACACGGGCAGAGAGTGTGTTCATGGATCAGGAAATAGCTCAAATACAAAGAATCTACTTTTTTTTTTTAAATAATAAAAGTACATAAGAGTCATTCTTAAAATGAGTGAAAACCATTTTTCTGGAATCACACAAAGAAACCCGATTTAGTATTATTTTTCTATAACATTTTGCCAGGCTCTGTACAGACACCCCCACTGGCCACTTCATTAGACACACCTGTCCAGTGTAACGCAGTCCAACACATCAGCTCTGCCACACGGCCCACATGAACAAAGCTTCACATGTTCACGTTGTGTTTCCATCGTGGTTTTACTTGGTGTTTATTGTTGAGCTTGTAATGGGTGGTGGCAGCATACTGGAGCACAACATATTGAAAAGTGTTCCTAATGTTTTGTCCCGATGAATGTATGTTAATGGATTGGACAAAGGAACACACAGCTCGATGTAATGCCCTCAGTACACCCCCACATCCACTATGGCCTCAGTAGCACACCTCAGGTAGAATGATCCTGACCATGTCAACAAAAACCACACGTGTACGCTGTGTAAACGTAGAAATGATGGCAGAGCAGTTGTATCGCATTAGATTGCACAGGTGTAGCTAACGCAGTGGCCAGTGAGTGTATATGTACACATGGCTGCTAACGGATGTGTTCAGCATAACTCAGTGACTCCCAAACAGCACATGGCCGAGCAGCAGGCATGTTAGCAGGCATGTTAGCTCCACGGCATTCCCAGGCTGACGTACAGTCACACAGAGTGTGTCTGCATGCAAACACCTGCAGCTCTCGCTCAGCTCGCTTCACTGTGTACAGATGTGTCCAGCTGCCAGCGCCTCCACAGGCTCCATCACCTGTGGTGTGTCCAGCTCCTCCTGCTCCTGGTGCTGATGACGTTAAAAACAATAGGGCAGCACCAGGGCCAGGACCAGGACCAGGGCCAGG